ATTCTCGTTCGGATCACTTTTTTTTTTTTTTTGATAAACAAACTGCCGGTTCCTAAATGCCTTTTTTTTTTTTTTTTTTGCGGGGAACTGAATGGGAATCATTCTTTGTTTTTTTTTTTTCCTTACTGATTATGACGTGTTTCTTCTGGGAACTCAGATTTGCCTTCATATTTGTCAATCTGCTTGCTTCACAATATTCTTCTCTTCACAGGTATTGACCTCATGCACATATGAGCTTTAGAAAAAGATTTATTTGATTATTATTGTTTGATTGATTTGTATGTTGATATGAGATTAGGTTGCTTTGGATCTTGGATGCTTTTACTATCACTTCTCAAGTTAACAGATTACCATAAATTAGACACACTATCACTTTGGCAATTTGTTGGATGCTTTTGATATGAGATTAGGTTGGTAATACTATTGACTATACACGCTCTCGCACACAATCAAAATATATTGATCGTCTGGGATTAATGAATTTATATCAAAAGGAAATTAAATAATTCAAAAGACTTTTTTTTTTTTTTTATCATCCACATTTTTTTGATATACATACCAGAGTTCTTATGTATTTATATGTCTAATACCTAAGGTTTGATATTTAACTTTATAACACTTTGATGCCTATGCATGAAGAGATGCCTTTCACATTTAGAAAGTTAGAAATGGTGGTATTTTTGATTTTATGATTAGGAGTGGCAAGCAGATAAATTTAAAATTTTTGGTGTTAGATATGTATATATATAACAATTGTTTCATATGTATTTAAATGCTCCTACCCTTTTGCTTAATTTGTTTTTGCATCGTTAACAAATTACCATAAATGTTTGCAATGTGCTTATCTTTCCTCTGTTAATTTGAAATGTGCTTATCCTTTTTCTGGGGCATTTCGTGTTATGAAAAAAAATATTTTATGTTAATCCGTTTATTTCACAGTACACAATGAGTGAAATTAAAGAGGTCGGATGATTGGTCATGTGGGATAGAGAAGTCGTTATTATATTTTGTGATTTTTGTTTGAGGGAGGTCGAGCCGAGAAATAGATCAACCACCTATTTTAACAAAGAAGAGTGCAAAATCTTATGGTTAAATTCAATGAATTGACTAGAGGGGATTACGATAAGATGAAATTCAAGAACAAGTAGGATCAACTAAAGAATGATTAAAAAATATAGAAAGAACTTATAAGGGGATCAACAGGATTAGGAAGGGATCCATTGTAGCGAACAATTGATGTACCAGAGGATTGGTGGGTTGAGAAATTAGAGGTAATGACATACGTAAGACTACTTATTCTCTCATTATCTTTCAAACTAAAATGGTTTAACTAATAAAGGTTGTCATATCTTGCAGGCATTGCCGACACTCAAAAAACTCAAATTCAGTGGCATTCATCCGGTTCTGGAAGAGAAGTTGGACGGTATATTCAGTGGGGTTGTTGCAATGGGAGCTCATGCTTTCACCCTAAGCGAGCAGGGGTTTACTAGCTTACCAGAGGTCATGGGAATCAAGAAGGTAAGTGACTCGGGAGAAGACCCCAACCAAATTCACAAGGATGTTAAATCAACATGCGGGTCAAAGCAGCCCAGGGTCAAGAAAAGGAAAAAAGGAGCTGCATTCATCAGGGGCATAATAACAAAACTGCTTGAATCCTACACAGTTAAACCTAGTGTCTCACTAGACACATCCATTGACGATTGTCCTCGAGTAGTAAATACATATCCTAAAGTTAAGAAGGAAAAAGTGCTCTATGTAAATTTTGTGAAGTTGTTGGTGAACCCAACCCACAGAATTTTGTGAAGTTGTTGGCGAACCCAACCCACAGACAGTTTTTCAAGAAGATGGATCCCGAATTCCGAGTCTATTACTTAGGCTCTTTCATGGATAAATGATTTTTTAACACATTATCTGTCTATTTTCTTATTAATCTTTCAAATATGTTTCATGTATTGTTCAATCGCTTTCTAGAACGCACAGTCAGTCTGTTTTGATATATTATTATTGATTACTATAACCTGTTTTCAGATGTTCTTTATTGTTCTTCAAAAGACCGTTCTTCTATGTTAAGTTTTTTACATTGTCCTTTTCCAAACTAATGTAGGATAGATCCAGAACAATTGCAATACAACAAAAAAGTTGTTATCATTCTTACGAATACTACCTTTCTTAAGTCGACCGAAGCCCGTGTATGAAGTCGAGTTATATTGGAGATAAATGAGTCGATGAGCTATTACAGGGCCACCCAACTCAGTTTGTCAACATGTTCCACATGACAAAAGATATATTTATCGATCTGCTTAATGAACTTCAAAACTATCATGGATTACACAACTCAACGCGAAAGACAATAAGAGATGTGTTAATAATAACCCTCTACATCTTATAACAGAATGAATATATTAGAGGAACCATGGAGCGATTTCAACTTTCATCGGAGACTACCAGCAGATATTTCTCGGAGGGTTTGAATTCTCTTCTAAGTTTGGGGTCCAAGACAATTAAGCTTGAGGATCTCATATCCCTGTCCATTCCCCAACAAATTGCAAATGACCCTCGATACATATCATTCTTCAAGATATTTTTTTTAACAAATCATTCATATATCAAGATGAGTTACATGTCAAGTCCTAATGAGCTATATTTAATATGTCAGAACTGTATTAGAAATATTGACGAAACGCACGTCAATGCACGACTATCCAGTATAGAGGTCTTCAACATTGGATGTTGCTGCTCCCACAAAATGTGATGACCGTGTGTAATTTCAACATGTGGTTCACTTTTATTATAGCTGGTTGGGAAAGCAGTGCGCACAATAGCTGTATTTTTAAGTTTGCTACCAGAAACCGATGACACGGCTTCTCGTACCCACCTTCAGGTACGTAAATAGAGCAAATACATTCGGTGTTTTTTGTTCGTAACTAATTAAGATATTTAGGCATGAAATTATTACTTGGTCGACGCTAGATATTCTTTACAAAGGGAGTATCTGAAGCTATATCCAGATACGAAATAACACATTCCTAATTTTCAAAGATTCAATGAGGTTGCATGAGGCAGAAAGAGGTTGTTCAACAAAAGATGCTCCTCACATGGTGTTATCAAAAGATCCTTTGGTGTGTTGAAGAAGAAGTTAGTGATATTACGTGATAAGCTGACTTACTCATTTCTAAAGCAAGTTCAGATCATAGTGTCCACTATGACATTATACAACTATATTCGACGACGCCACTCTAAATCGGATGTAGACTTTACCCTTGCAGAAGATGATCAGTTCCAGATTTCACCAGAAGCATTCGAGTTCTATGTGGGACAGTCCATACCACAACTAGAAATGAAATCACATAATGTTTACACACGAAAGAGTGAAGGTGCAGTAGAGATGACAACATTGAGAGAGCAGATAATGTTTGGCATTGTTGAATCTAGAATGGATGTGTCTTATTATTTTTAACAATTTTATGTTTACTTTAACTCAATTGTACGAGTAATTTTGGATTTTGAAATTTAATGTGAGTTCTTCTTTTTTTTGTACTATATTTGTGGTTTATATGTTTTTGTTTTAAAGTATTCTATTACTTAATTCAATACAGTTTCGTTTTATAAATTTAATTTTTTTTTATTACTAACAGATTCTCTCTTTAGTTTTTTTCTTTTTTGAAGAAAGATAAGCTCAAGGTTTGTGGGACACTCCGGGCGAGTGTTATGCCACTGTGCACTACAGACTACAATACTGACGTCACGTTAGTCACACAATTACGAGCAACAGTTTTATGGGTGCCAGCGGCACACCCCAAATATGTGTTTGTTCTCCAGATGGGCAGACAATCCAACAGATTCTACTGCCATTAATAATCGGGGTTCACTTGCATCCCAAGAGAATGACACGGCTCGTAACATTAAGGAGCTATATTTTAAATTTAATATTGTCATCGTTTTAATAGTAATTTATTAGTTTTCTTCATTTTTTTATCAATCCTAGTACTCACAATTAAGTGAGGTTTGTAGCTTATTTTTTTACTGTTGAGAACTTTTTTTTTCTTATTGTTCATCAAATATATTGCTTAGACAGTTCTGTTATAAACAGCTTTAATGCACAGAGGCGGAATAATTATTTTTCCAGAAACAGCTACTAATTAACTATTTTTCAGCAGCTGAAACCAAACAAGCAACCAGCTAATCTGGATCAACTGCTGATCAGTAGCTTATCCAGATCAGCTGTTTATCAACACATTGTCAATAAACTGCAGCTGCCCCAAACAGACCCTAAATGGTATGCATGCAAACCTTCCCAAAATATTATTGTGTCCAATGGCTGCAAGTCTTTTAGATGATGTGAGTTACATTATCTGATATATATTTATGCTGGTGGTTATCTTTTCTCTCTTGTTTTGCTACACTCTTTATTCTTGTGGATTTTTTTTTCTATTTGGTGGTTCAAATTGTATAAGTTGGGCTTGTTGGTTGGCCACTTTTGTGCACTTCTACTAGCTACATATTAGATCTTGGGATCAGTAAAATTGTATGCCAAATTACATAGCTTTGGATGGAGTTCTTCATTTACAATATGCCACATTTATTTTATTGAGCTCAATTTTTATTCTTCCATTTTCTCATAAGGCAAAAACAAAAAAAAAACTGCATAGGGTACTATAACCTGCAACACTAACAACTCAGTGCTTTCAGTTAGAACCGCACCAAAGTAATCAAACCCCAAACCTGAAGTAGTATTACTAAGCATATACAATGATACTTGTCAGATCATTGGAGTATGGTCCCTAAAAACGGGGATTATGCTATTGTTGCTGCAAAAAACCAAAATCCATTTTGAAAACCATTAAACCATTAAAAGCGTTACCCTTGTTGACAAAAGTTATGGAAAATATTGCAATCTGATTCTGAAAAAGTTGCGGAGGTACAAATGGCACTGTATGATGCAGGTTATTTATTCCAAATTAATAAGTTTTATTAAAGTCATGAGATTACCATGAAGAAGGAAACATTCGGCATGTCCTTCGCTCGGGCTAGTTCCTTCACTAACTCTTTTCCTCGCTTCGTTCAAGTCGTTGGACGCCATATTCTGGTGGCGATCGATTTGCCTGTCTCTGCAGGAAAGAAACGCTGCCTTTTCAGGCTTCCTCTTCCACTTTCATTCCAGGCTCTTTCAACCCTTTATAGCATAGCACGGTATTGTCCCGGCTTTATTTCCCTTGGATTCGCCATTCGCATTATGGATCCTATTTTCAGGAGTTTCCCTTGGATCCGCCTTCATTCCCCTTGGATCCGCCATTAGGTCTGTCACAAGCGATTGGGAACAGTGAAAACACAAAAATTATTTGTCTCTCTTTTTTTCTTTCTGGATTTAGGGGAACTTATAAAATCAGATAAATCTAAATTTATCTACGGCAGAGATGAAACTCGCGAGTGATGATTATGTCAAACCTGCAATCGAAATTAATAAATATCGATTTACCATGTAAAAGAGATTGAATGCGAGAAATGAAGACAGAACGTGAGAAATTTTGATTTACGAAGCGTTGAATTTAATCTTCATTTTTTTAATGTTTGGTTGGATTTTATCTTACCTAAAATGGATGCTTTAATCCTATTACAAATATGCTACCAAACGCCCCATTTAATAAATAACACTCACTTATATTAATATTATATTTCTCGCACTTAAATTTTAATATTCAAGTTTTCTAGCACTATTAATTAACGTTAGACCTCAATAAATACTTGTTTTTAATGAAAACAATGATGAAGCTTACAAGTATGCTTTACTTAGAATATAATTAGTGTTATAGAAATTGAGTGCAAAGGAATAATTCATCATATCGAAATAAAATTAAATAAACTTTTTCTACCCAATTCCTATATATCATAAATGTATATAATGATGGTGAAAGTAAGTAATAGAGAGAGAAAGTTGTTGTAAGCAGAATAATGGAGATGTGTTTTTTCCATGTGTAAGGTGTAACTAAATTATTCTTGGAGGAGAAGAGCGTGTTTAACGGCCCGCTCAAACTTAGGTTTTAAGATTTTGAATCCTTAGTTTGTCTTTCAAAGTGTGAAATATGGATGTCGAGAGAGCATTAGTTAGGATGTCTAATAGCTAAATCCTTAAAACTAGTGTGTTAGATTTGTAGTTTTTGATTGGCAATGTGATCTCACATGGAGTAACAAAATCGATTTCAATGTGTTTTGTGAGCTTGTGGAAGGTTGGATTGTTGGCTATTGCAATGGTGTAAATGTCACAGAACAGGGTGTTGGTTGATCTAGAATGAGACTAAGTTCTAGAAGAAGATGGTGTATCCAAATCAGTTTGGTGGATGCAACGACTAGGGTATGATATTCGACAATCCTCCACAAAAATGCAATGGCGTAAATGTCACGGTGACTAGTGTCCTTATCCAACTACTGCTTCTTGCTATTGGTGATAATGCTAGCTTAGATTTTTGGATCCATGTATTGTTGAGAAGGTCTGAAATGTAATGTTTTTGGTGTATGATATATTTGTGAGTTGCAGGTTAGAACTGTAGGCCTATAAAGGTAGATATGTGTCCCATTTTCTTAAGATGGAATCTTGTTTGGTGATTCAATATGATTTATTATATAAATTTTGAGTCATTGTCGGTAATCAAAATATCCTCCACATATATAACTCTGAAAATTTCCTGAGTTTTGGTTTTGTATAGGAGTATGGACGAACCAGCGAAACTTAGATACCCGAAGGCTGAGGGTTGGCTTTGGCTTTGTGCCCTCGGATTTTATTTCACTTCTCTTATCTTGGTTTTCTACTCCCTTTTCCTTCATTCTGATGGCTCCAAATACTCATTTTAGCTCTTCGGGTTTGCCTGAGCTACCGATAGGTTGGTTTCGTCGCCAGGGGAGGTGACTCTGTTGCAAGATACCTACATCTTTGGTTCTAACATGTAGCTTCAGGTCGTCGGAGAATATGAATAGGTGACAAAATTATTTGAAGGCGATCTTGTCTTCTACCAAGATCAATTTAGATGGAATTTGCAGCTGCCATTTTCTCATGAAATGCAAGCTCTTTTCAATCATTACAGAATTATTCCAACATACATCAAACCTTACTCCATAGCTGCTATAATGAAGTACATAGTTTATTGTGATCGAACAATGATCCCATGGTCATTGTAGCTCTTCACTTGTGAAAACACAATAAATGAAAACACATTAGTGAAAAAGAGTATTTGGAGAAGCTCCAATGATCCCAAATGAAAACAATTATAGTCACTTTAGTTCGGTCGACACTTTCCAACTGCTCAGCTTGGAGAATAAACTCATGGTTTGGAAGTTGCGCTTCTTCGTTGTGTCCTCCTCTAATAGATTGGGAATTCAGCTTGTCCCAAAAAAAGGAGTGTAAAAGAAGAAGATGTTTGTGCCTTCCTAGACACAAAGATAGCATAACAAAAGAATTTGAAGGGAGGCCGCTCTTAATTCACCAATATACTGAGTCGGTGGTTGTTAATGGCTTCTGCTGTCAGGCAAGTTTGGTTTGATGGTTGCGGCTCTATGGGAAGAGTCAAATACTCGAGAAGCCAGGCATGATGTTGATGAAGCCGCAAACCTAAATAAAGGTTTACAATAAAATCTTAAAAGAATTTTGAGTTATCTGAAATTAATTGTTATTTATTAATTCTCTTAAAAAAATTCAAATTAATGTCAAAATGAACGTCAAAAACTATAAAATTATTCTCTAGAATTAAAGATCACTCGAAATATTCCGTAAAAATTGGAGTTAAATTTTAATTAATTTGTATGAATTGAGAACTTACTAACCATATTGATTTCAAGATATCTTTTAAATTTTAAATGACTTTCAAACTTAATGAAAGTGTGCAATAAAATTCAGAAGCTCATATCAGACTTCTCATACAAAATTGGGATTTTTTTTTAAGGAAATTTAAATGTTCTATGAATTACTTGATTTATTTAAACTTTAAATTTATTTTTAATATTTTAAAAAATTTGAATCTAATTTTCCTACAAATTTCACTTTTCTTATGATTTAGTGAGTTAAATTTGTTTTTTTTTAATTTGAATTAACAAGTTTTAGGTTTATTTAAAATTTATTTAATCTAGAAAATTAGATTATTTCAATTTAATGGAAAATGTCCCAACAACTATTAAGATTTGGTGTCATAGTTCTTTATTGGCCTTGAGGGGCTTCTTGAAATCATTTAGAGGGCCTTTCAATTTATTCTAAATTTTTATGCATTGTATTTTACTCATTTGAATTTAAAGTGGAAAATTCTATAATGCGCATAAAAAATTATATAATGCGCATAAAAAAAAAAATTGGCAAAAATATTTTCTAACTTGTTTCAGACCAATATCGCTGTAAAATTCTTCCTTCCCCATGAAAATTATGCATGATTAGAAGTCTTTCGAAGGTTAGGATGATCAAATTTCAGAAGAATTAAGAAAAAAACTGCAAATTAAATCTTTCTAATAAATAATTCTCATTCCTTTTCAACATGTCGAAATTGATATAAATATAAAAATTAAAGGTTCGGTATTAGATATGTAACTACATGGAAATTCTATGCTACATATATAAATCTTCCTTGTTTTAGTTATAAATCTTCCTTGTTTTAGTAGTTTTTTTTTTTTTTAAATGCTTGAACTCTCTAGTTAAAATCTTGAGTTGAATGGGCCAAAGTTGCTCCAAAATATAGCCGCAAGAAGTGGAATAATGGACCCATTACTCTAAATGTGTCATCATGTTTACCAGTTCACTAGCACATCAATTGCCAATTAAAAGTATACAAATATAAAGAAAGTTCCAACTTATTAGGGATAAGCTCTTAAGTTTGTTACCTCACCCTTAAATCTCTCCCTCTCCCTCTCTATAAGCAACTTCATATAAATAAATCACGAGAGATGTATCATAAACTCCAAAAAGAGAATATTTCTAGAGGTAAAAAATAGCAAAAGAAATTATTTGTTCAATTTTCCCTAATGGATCGCATTTCTCTTCAACTGCAATCTTTCAGACTCAATCTAGCCAAACCCCCAAATCGACAACACTCGTCTCCCACACAAAGTAACGTTGGTCTACATTCCTAGAAAAGATGAAACTTCACTGAAGATTAATGGCGTCAACATCCCTACCAACAAGCAGGCTCGCATCGTTCTTCACCGCATCCGAGCGACAAGAATTGGTGATGAATTAGAGGCAGTGTTTGAAAGCACAGATCGAGTTTGTGTTGGCAACATTCTTCGCTTTGAGGTTTGGATTCGTGGAGAGAAAAAGCTACAAGGGATATTTCTACGAGGTGCAAGATGACAACTTAACTGTAAGAAAATTGACCTGGCGGAATGGGCAGAGGTAAGTGTGGTGACAAAGCAAGGATTTATTATGAGAGAGCTGGTGAAACCAAGGAGGAAACAATTTTATCCAAAGCTGTCTGTAATAATTGAAGGAGATGAAACGGAGGAAAAAAATAAAGAAGACAATAAGGAAGAATTTTATGGTTCCGATTATTTTAAGGAAAAAGTGAATGTACAAGGAGATAGAGCAGCGAAAAAAGGTAATAGTTTAATGGTAAATGTGGGAGTTTTGGTGACGTGCATAGGACTTGGGCTATTTGTTTTGAGGAATTCTTTGAAGAAATTATTAGGATTCAAGTTGTTTTGAGAAAAAAATTATATATATATATAATTAGGTTGGTTTCTCTATTTCTCTTTTTTGAGTGAAGAAACATCTTTGTATATCCATATATGTAAGCGTTTCCAATATCAATTAATATTTAGCATTTATTTTTTCTCCCGTTAGTATTCTATTGTTGAATTATTTACTCTTCATTTGTCATCCAATCTAATTCAGTACGCCTTTCAAATTTTTGGTCGTCGTCTGATTGAAATATAGTTAAAGGAACCAGCAATCTTTTCTTAGAGTTATAATGTTTGGAAATAGTATAATATATTAAATATGTAAAAATATATTTATACATAATTTCGAGTGCATTGCATCTTATCTTCAAGAAATTCTCATCTCGCATCTCTTCATATGATAGAGAAAAAATAAGAAAAATAAATTTACAGTTTAACTCAATTTTTTAATTTTTATTTTATATTTCAATTAGAGTTACATTATTTATTATGCATTGATAATGTTTTAATATGCATTGTTATTTTCTGTAAAACATAACGAATGATAAGAGAATCTCTTTTCAACACGTCTTTTGACATTAAAATGAAGAAAGTTGCTAATATTCGAAGCAACTTATTTGGGCAAAACAAATTATTTTTCTTAATTTTTTTCATAAAAATATTTTTTTCCCACTCATAATTCCCAAG